CTCACAGGGAGGCTGCTTAACAAGGGGGCGTTTGGGAGGCAGCTAAGTCAGCAAGTGAGTGGCCTCTGAGGTTCTGGCTTTCAAGTTTGTGACGCTGATGTGGACCTGAGGGGATACCTGGCCCCTCTACTGTGGGTTCTGTTGGTTAGAAATGCAACAGCTTGCATTTGGAGCACTTGAGTCACTGAAAACCAAAACCTCCCCCTCCTCTCCCCTGCCCAATTGTAGGAAAGGAGAAACTCATTAAGCATTTATTGGTAGGTTTCTGCAGTGTATTAAAGTTCAATCAAATGGAAAACCTGACAGACAGCCCCCAATTGTTAGAATTATCTCAAGGGACCCTGAACTGGATATTGCAAGTTGACATAACTGAAATGAGCTGGACTAGGCTGTTGGCTCAATCTCTCCACACCAACAGCCGCCGCTTTGTTCCACCTGGAGTGGTCCCATGCCACCCCCTCAAGGAGAGCTCTGGGCAGCAGCAGGGTGGTGGTTTTTAGGAAGCTACTGGTTTTGCCGTTTGCTTCCAGAATCACATAGACTATAACAAACTTTACATTAAACACTGTTTAGTCCTGAGTTGGGGGCATGCCCATGGAGGAGGGGCCGAGTTCACAAGGACTCTTCCCTCCCTGGCGTGGTGTCATACGTGTCCCTCAGCTTTCTCTTCTTCCATTGATTGACTTTCTGTTTCTTTTTCATTGGTGACCCCTTCTGAATTCTTCTTGCCCATTGCTTTACTGGCCTCTTCCTGAGGAAGAAATAAATCAGAGGGTTAGAGAAAAAAGAAAATGTCCAATTACTTCTTGGCTCCTCTAGACTGTCAGGTCTGAAATAAGAGGGCGTTACAGGGCTTTATTCAGGTGGCCCGGCTGGGTAAGTCACGGCTCTGCTGCCAATAGCTGAGAGGGAGCTTTCGCTGTTCTTGGGTTAAAATGACTAGCTTGCCACAGGGACAGCTGTTAAATGTCACCAGGGGTTCTGAGTGGAGGGGGAGTGAGAGACCAGAATATAGCGTTGATGTAGGGAGGCGGACTTCTCCCATCACGTTTGCCAAGTTGGCTCCCGAACCCCAAAGTAAAGGCAAAATAGCTGGGCTTCCCCATCAGTCATTTCCTGGGAAATCTGAAGTCTCAAAAGCAGGTATTATCTGGAGGGAAAAAACCCTGATGTACTTGATTTTTTAAAAAAATAATAAAAGTTTTAGGACATTTCTAGGGAACTGACTTCCCTCATCTCTTGCATGGACATGTCAGGGCCTCACAACTATGTGCCTGTGGTGAGAAGAGTATGGTGGAACAGCCTTACTCTACTCCTGGATCCAAACCAGCCTCAATCAGATCCGAAATCACTTCCCCTATCCTTGGGGCTCGCGAGTTGTCTACCTGCACCTGTGTCCTGTGCTTCACCCTCTCAGAACAAAAGTCAAAGGCACAAGGTCAGGTCTTGGTCCCCCTGAAGGCGGGGGGCTGTGACATACCTTTGCATCTTGCTCTGCAAACTTCTTGAACATGTTGGCATAGATCCTGCGGTCCCGCTCATTGTGCTCCTTGGCTTTTTTCTGGCACATGGAGATCTGCAGTCTTGCAGCCTTATTTTGGGGGTTTACTTCCAACACTTTCTCAAAGTCGCCCTTGGCTGACTCAAACTCGTTCATGAGCAGCTGGGCTTCGCCCCTCCTGTACAAGCCCTTCTCATTGGCACTGTCCAGTCCAAGGGCCTAGGGACAGACAGACTATGTTTTAGAAAGGATGCATGTACCCTGTGGGCATCTGAAGAGAAAAAGGTCTCTGGCCAAGGGAATTGGAAAAGGCATATTGAAAAGATTGGGCTCAAGGTAATTATATACTACTGATCAAAATTTACAAATTATAGAAAATTCATTAAATACAGAAAGTAAAGATCCCAAGGGGACTTGGGAAGGGGGGGGGGCTTCTGAGAAGTTCATTTTAAAGTTCAATGGAAGAAGTAAATGCCTAAGAATGGCTGAGAAATTTCTGGAGAAAAAGATATACTATTAAACTACTGAAATTAAAAGTTTGGTTAGTAGTCCATGGACAAATGGGTCCGTGGAACAAAACAGCATTCAGAAATAGATTCATGTGTATGTGTGCAAAAAGATTTAATAATCACAAAGATGGTAATGTAAATCATATAGAGAAAGTATTAACTTTGGAATAAATGGGGCTGAGGCAGTGACTATCCATGTAGAAAATTAGTTGAATTCTTACCTTATGTCATAAACGCAAAAATAAATTCTAGACCAACTATATTTACATGTCAAAAAAACTCCCATAAAATTGTAATAGGGTTTTTTTTTTACGCAAACCTTGATGGAGTAGGTTTTGTAAGTATCGAACAGGGTTATTTTTTATACTGTCAGGGTGAGGAAGACCTTTCTATCTAGAAAGAAATAGATTTTATTAGGTAAATATTAAAACTTTCTTTTCAGAAAAAGCTACCATCATCAAAGACAAGTGAGAACAGAGTACCTACTGTCAGACAAAAAGTTAATGTGCAGACTACCTCAATCAATAGAACACAATAATTTGGTTGAAGGATATGAACAGGCAATTCAAAGATGAAATACAAATGGCTAATAAGTAATGAAAAGATGTGCAACTTCATTAGTAACCAAGAAATAAAAATAAGAATTTTTTGTTGCTAACAATATTGAGAATGAAAACCAATGACAATATTCAATAATGTATAAAGTATTAAAATGTAAATATATTAAAATAACATCTTTGACCCAATATTTACACTTCTAGGAATCTATCCTATAGAAACAATCCCACACATATTCAAAGAGACACTATATATATAATCTGTAATATCAAAACCTGGAAATCTACCAAAAGGGATTGGTTAAATAAACTACGATAGATCCATACAATGGATACTATATTGACTTTAAAAAAAATGAAATGGTAATATGGGGAAAGATGTCCTTATTTTATAAATCTATACATTCTCATTAAAAAAATTCATACATGTTACTCTTATATGGAAAAAACAAAAGGAATATTTTTTTAATGATTTTTTTTCTTTTTTTTATGAGGGGGAGGTAATTGGGTTTATTTATTTATATTTGGAGGAGGTACTGGGGATTGAACCCAGGACCTTGTGCATGCTAAGCATGCACTATGCTGCTTGAGCTATACCCTCCCTCCCCAAAAGGAATATATAGGAAACGAATGACTGCAGTCTTGGGAGAGGGTCAATGGGAATTTTATAAATAGGCTCACTTTCTTGCATGTTTCTGTAATGTCAAATTTGAACAAGAACAAAGTTAAAATGTAATTAATAATAACACTGTCTTCTCAGGCAAAATTTAGCATAACATGATAGGGAACACTGATCCACAAAACTTGAAGTCTTAAAACTCAAAAATAATCTTACAGCGGGGAGGGAATAGCTCAGTGTTAGAGTGCGTGTTAGCATGCACAAGGTCCTGGGTTCAATCTCCAGTACTTTTGTTAAAATAAATCTAATTACTTACCCCCTCCAAAAAAAAAATCTTACAAAGAATGTATGAAATAATTGGTTTTTTTTTCTTATCCCTTTGTCTGTCTTTAAGATATATCCAATTATTAGCTTTTATCCATAAGAAAACATACACTGTTCACTCAGTCCAAGTCTCTGACATAACAGCATTAGCTAGTAAATAAAATAACACAGTCATACATCACTACTGTCACTGGCCTCTGGTACTTAGGTGCTCCGTAACAGCGTTAACAGTGCACATGTAATAAGGGAGAGGGCTGCTGGTGCTCTGTGGCTCTTTCAAATTATGTGTTTTCTGAGTGAATAAATACGATAAAAAGTGACTTGCCAAGGTCCTGGGTTCAATCCCCAGTACCTCCATTAAATAAGTAAAAAAAAAACCTAACTACCTCCCCCATTTCAAAAAGGAAAAAAAAAAAAACTACTTGAGAAAAATGACTTGCATATTCCTGTAGGAGCAGTCACAGTCTGTTCTTATTAAATTGAATCTGAAGAGTTCTATGTCTAATCTGATACCAAATGTCACAGACTTAAGGTCATGGACAAAACCTGCTTAATTTTATCTAAATCTTTGTTCATAATGTATTTTTATAAATAGTCTAAGCATCAGGAAATTATGACTATAATAAAAAATGCTTCTGCACTTCTCAATTCATCCTGAGAAACAAATAACCCCAAACAAACAAAACTAAGCAATGTGGAAAACCCAGCCCCTGGATGAAAGGCAGCAGAGGAAGACTAAGTATGAGGAAGGAGAAAAAGATCTGGAGGAGCTTAAGTCATCTCACAGGCAGATACTTCACCTTGTCACAGCACTCGACGGCTTTGGTGTACTCTCTGAGCTTCAGGTAGCACATGGCCAGGTTCAGGAAGGCAGCGAGCAGAAACGATTCAGAGGCTTTAGATTCCTTCTCCGATAAGCCATATTCCATCTCTAACCAGGACACTATCTTCCCATACTGAATCACCGCCTGCATGTACTTGCCTCCCTGAGAGAAAAGCTAGTGATTACTTGCTGGACAGGCTCTGGGGGTTGGAGTGGGAGGGGTACAAAAGTAGTGCAAGCTCAGCCCCCCCCCAAAGCCAAATCTGCAAAAGGAACCCCCCCATTCTAACCAAGCCATTTGATCATTTCTTCCTGTTTCCAGGAGGTGGCTATCCAGGCACGTTTCCCAAGTCCCCACGACCCCGGAGCTGGTTTAGGACCAGGCACTGTAACGCTGGTCTCCAGCGTCCACTATCTCACCCTATCCAGGGGGCATTTCTCTCAGCAGGTGGGTATCAAGGCTTCTGGGTTAGTCTTCGGTGCTAATATTCATCACTTTCAAAAGGCTGGTGAGTAGTTGTAGACTGTGTCACTAGTTTACTTTTTTCCCTCTTCTCCTGACCATTAGCTCGGCACGATAGGTAACTTTATTCTGATTAAGTGCCAGTCCCCAGTCCAGCAAATCTTAAGTTATCTAAGGGCTGGCAACCTTCTATGAAGGTGCAGATAGTAAATATTTCAGGCTTTGCAGGCCAGTCTCTGTTGCAACTCTGTCCTTGGTGGTACAGAAGCAGCTCCAGACAATATATAAATAAATGGGTGTGGCTGCGTCCCAGTAGAACCTTACTGTCTACAAAAACAGACTGTGGTCTGCTGACCTCTCATCTATAGACCATGGGAAGACAGAGTTGAAGAGCAGCAGTGTAACATAAATAACTAAAACATGAATCATGTAAGTGTCACAGCTAACTACACGAGAAAAACCTTTCTCTTAGTTGTATTTTTGCTCTTACCTGATTAGAATTCTAACAACTGTATAATTAATTGACATGAATTATATATATGGGCTACACAGGAAATACCAGGGCTGAGACAATGTTTATTGCCATTTTAGGATGAATGAAAGGAGTAAGAGCAGGTAAGACGGAGTACAGGGGAGGGATCTCTTCTACAGGAGGTGACTATAAGCTTCAAAACATGACACATCCCGCCACATCATAGAATTGCAGCCACACCTCATGGGCATTAAACCGAATGTCTGACCGACAAACAGGGTTAAGATCATGTCACTAGGATTTACCAGTCAAAGTGCGTACACTTCTCAGTCTCCCCACGCACACTGCAGGCCTCACCCAGTGAGTAAGAGGAAGATCACAGAGCAGGTCTATGAGAATGTTCCAGTTTTACAGGACTTTAAGTGGTTGGCATAAAAATGTGTTCCACCCGGAGAAAGGAAGCCCCAACACTGATTTTTGGTGATTAGGACGGGGTAGACCAGTTCCAGGTAGAGGGCCTGGGTCAGAATGTACAGATCTTCCTCAAGTTACAAGGGGTCACCTCCCAATAAACCCACAGCAAGTCAAAAATGCACCTGATACACTTGATCTACTGAACAGCCAGGCCTACTTTAAAGGTGCTCAGAACACTTACCTTAGCCTACAGTTGGGCAAAATCATCTAACATGAAGCCTATTTGATAACAAAGTGTTTAATGTCCCACATAGTTTATTGAATACTATCCTGACAGAAGCAGAATGGCTATACCAGTGGTTTGCCCTTCTGACCGTGGGGCTGATGGGAACTGCGGGAGGGGGTCGTACTGTGTTATCGCTAGCTGGGGAAACTCAAAAACCCCCAATTCCAAGCATGGTTTCTACTGAATGTGGAGAGCTTTTGCATCACTGAAAAGTGGAAAGATTGTAAGTTGAATCATTGTAAGTCAGGGCTGTCTACACTTGGGTTTTGCCGCAGCCTTAGGCCCATCACTCAAGAATAGGGTCCTCACCAGCGCCAGGGTTGGCATTTTCTGTCACCATCTTTTCTCCCGCTGGAGTGCGAGCTCATTGAGGACCGGAAGCATATCCTATCCCTTTTGGAATATCGAGGGTTTAGCACAAGGAGGCCCTTAATGAAGATCTGCTGAGTAAAATAGTAAGGTCAAAGGAATATAACTGTGGAATCAAAAGTTTTTCAGTCATTGGGAGCAAAATGGAGATATGGGTGGAAATGAAAAGTGTCATTTCATTTAGGCTAGGTGAGAAGGACAGGCACCTTCCCTGTTTGTCTAGCTGCTTCTTCCCTTCTCTCCTCCTCCTCCATCTTTATCAAGTATACTGTCCTAGGGAAAGAAAAGAAAAGAGCCAGGGAGGAGAAAAACCCAGCTCCTACCACTTCAGTTGGTTCTGACTTTCAGAATAGTAGAAGGCTATGGTTTCTCAAAACAACAACAAACCAGAATAGACTTCATAATATACATAAATGTTCCTTCACACGCATCAAGCACTTTAATTTCTTAAAAGCAATTTCATATATAGCATATATAATTTGACTTCTATCTCAACTTCTAATGAGCAAAGGTCTTTGTAGTACATCTAAAGGTCTTTGTAGTACACTAGGGTGCTTTTGCCCCAGGGGACACTTGGCCATGTTTAGAGATGTGCTTCAGTTGTCACAAGTGGAGGGCATGCACCTAGTGGGCAGGGGCCAGGGACGCTGCTAGACGTCCTGTAATGCACAGGACAGCTTCCCGCCAGAACAGATCTACACAGCCCCAAATATCAACTGTGCTGAGGTTGAGAAATCTTGTTCTAAAACAATGAAGAAAGAGAAAGAGAGGCAGGTTTTGAGTTTTTTTTTTTTTAACCTAAAAACCTAGAGTCAAAGATGACTTGTTTCTAATCAATAACACTGGTTTCTTGGTTCAGCAAGGGTGGTCAAAATATATCAAAGCCTGATTTGTCTGCAAAGGGTTCCATGGTTGAAGGATGATCCTTAACTAGCTTGCTTTAGAAATGCTTTTTTTCTGCCAAGGAGCACAAGAGGGCGCAAGAACCCTGTATCACTGCAGTGTCCGCAGCTGCCTTACCTCTGCCTCCGAGTCAGAAAAGTAGGTAACGCTGTTGTCCTGCACATGCTGTCAGTTATGAGGGCAAAAATCATGTCTATTTAACTGACTTGCACAATGCCTGGCATAACATCACGGTGTTAAATGTGCTAAATAATTATTTTCAGAGCCAAATGAAGAGAGTCCTCTCCTACCTTTCTTCTCTTTAGTGTTCGGAGGTTGATTGATAGTTTACAGTCTGAACACCAAAATCATTCCCAGTGAAAAGCTTATTACAATTCTACCCTACTAAGGGTAGAGATTTACCCATTTAGAGGTAAACCAAAGCAACAGGTCAATGAAAATAGAGCTCCATTTCATCGTACGAATGGGATGAAATACAAACCTACACTTCACACCATCTCTGCTCTCCCCTACACATCTGGCCCCTGTGCATATGCACAACGCACGTGCCAAGTCAAACACCCTGGAAGGATGAGGCCCTGAAAGGCAGTGTGGCAGATTGAAACTTGCCCTGAAATTTGTAAAGGGAAGGTGTGCAGGAACTTACTTACCACCCATTTTTAAAGTCTTATGGCTAAAACTAGGATCACTGCTGGGATCTTTTACCTATAATTATGAAGGTGCCTCCAGGGATGTTTTGAGTAGTACAAAATGTTCAGAGACATTCTGGGAGAAAAGTCTTAGGTCAGCGGTTTTGAACCTTTCATTAATTTTCCCCCAATAGACTACTGTTTTGAAAGATTTTTGTCTATCAAATTGCATGTTAAAAATATGTTCCATATGTGTGACTGCTGATCCAGATTTTATCCAAAGATCAGTAATTTTAAGAGGGTTCATAATATTATGAAATACACAAATCACTATTGCATCTAGTGTGATGCTAAGAAGCAGCACAGTCAAGTAATTGTGTAGATACTTGAGCACTGCTTTCTGCTGCTGATCAAATTCTGGCCATCTCTCTGTATATATTGTGGGTACAGCTATATGACACGTGGCTCTGCAGCATTCATTATCAATACTGTTCCCCAAAGTTCTGAGTCATCAGCAGCAACCAATTAGAGCTTCTGAATAGCTAAGCTGTTTATTACACTGAGTTGATATAATTCTAGTCAAATGCCAAAAGCCTCACCTCCCCCCATGTTAATATTCTATTTAGAAGTTTTGGGGAATATAAAAAATACACCTGAAGACTTTTATGGACTCGCAAGTAGGTAGGAAACACAGTTTAAGACCTATGGTCTTAAGTACAGAAAAATTTTTTATTCTTAGTGTATTATGTATTTGAGTCTTTGGATCTTATCTGAATAGTTAAAGTAGTAGCCAGTACCTCAATTAGAAATTAAGAAAAATCAAACTTGTTCTTAAGAACTTAGAAATGCATAGAAGTTTAGGGCTGGAAAGAAAACTTGGGGATCATCTAATATAATTCCCTCACTTTTCACATGAAAAAATAACTTCTTTGGACCTTAAATGACTTTAAATCATTTGGAGCCACAAAGCCCAGTTGTCCCAATACAGAGCTCATTCCACCATATCCCAGTGCTTTCTGGTGACCTATATGTTATTTTAGTACATATAGTAAACATTTATAAATAATTATATATTATCTACACCCAGAATAAGAAATGTTTTCAATCATGATCCACTACCCACTCACACACAACGGAACAAGTTTTATGAAACAAAATTTATCCTTACTACATAATGCAATACACTTCCACTAAATTGATTTCATGACCCAATAATGGGGCTCCTCTCAGTTTAGAAAACAATGACCATACATGTGGCCCTCTGGCTGTGTAAATTCTGTGTTGGTGACAGTCTTATGTAATTCTCTCGCTGTTTTCTGTGGGTTAACGCTGCCTCCTCTCCCTCTAGACAAGCATGTTACCCCAAGGACGGGTCTTATAGAAGCTTCTCCATAAAGACGTGCTGACGTACACTGATGCATCCGCTTTAGACTATTAAAAACATCATCTAATTTTTCTCTTGTTCATGGATTGCAGTCGCAAGTTAAAAAAAGAAACCTTGACAAAACTCCCATTCTTTGTCTCACACTCTTCTGCGCTAAGCCCTTTCTGCTCGATAGAGAAAAGTTACATATTTGGGGTTGGGGAAGCAATGGCTGGAGCGTTCTGATTAGAATCAAAGTTTTGTTCTCTTTTTTTCTTTATTTGAGGGTTTAAAATCTAAGTGAGGAGATAAATTCCTAGATTGTAAGAAAGGGTTTGCAATAATCAAGAAATGACAAGTATCGTTCAGGAATTTCTGAGGATTCCTCACAAAATCAAGTGTGGGAGGGATCATCTTGGCCATTAGAAGAAATTTACACACTCCTCCTGTCAGTTCCTTTTAAAGTCTGTGCGTGATCTCTCTTTTTATCCCCAAGACAGTGGAAAAGAAAATGATGTGAAACTTACCCCTTTGAGTACTATTACTTGCTAACAATTATTCTATTCATTCTTTGTTTTGTTCCACAAACACATGCTGAGTGCCCACCATGTACCAAGCGAGCTGCTCTAGGCCTTGAGTGACACAGTGGTGGGTGGGCGAGCAGACCTGGTCTGCCTTGGTGAGGGTTACAATCTAGAGCAGAATGTGTAAAAGAGGCATTTGTATTCTTTTTGTCACATTAATTCATTCTGTCTCACCATTTCTTATACTAAAAATGACAGACCTGTAAAAATTCAGGCTAATGCTTATCCACAATGGTATTCATAGAATTCAGAACAAGGTATATCAGCACAATTCACTGATACTTGACTAAATTCTTTGAGATGGAAAGGACTGTACAAAGACTCACACACCTTGAAGTACACTGTTCCCTTCTCTTTGACAATGGCAGCCTGTTCCAATTTTTCTTTGGTATCCATTTCCCAGGATTCTTTGGCCTGTTGTATAAATTTGTGACAATGGTTAGATGAACAGAGATGGAAAATGCACCAGCTGATGCCCATAAGAACAAACAATAGCTCCTCCTAAAGGCAACCCATACTTCAGAAGCCCCTGGCTTTTAACACTGTCTGCCCTTGCCAGGGCACCAGGCTAGAACTCACTTTCCATGATGACAGTGTGCTTGACCCGTGCTGCTCAGCAGGGAGGAGTGGGCACAAACACTGAGGAACAAGAACTGTTGAGCACTGTTACAGGGAATCTCCAGAATTATGAGGTGAGGCCACACAGGGAGAGCCAGGGTCCCTTATTTCCCTCCTGCAGACTTCTCCACTAAGCTGCTATTATAATTTAGGCAAGCTGTTTCTCTCAAGCCTGTTTTTCAACTCTAAAATGGGAATACTCTTACAGTCAAGTCACAGTTGTATATTCATACACAATTAAAAAATTCCAGAACAGGCAGCTGTTTCTCCACTGTAAAACAACCATATATAGTAAAACCTCCAAGCTGCAACAACCTGCAGATGTATACTTGGGGAAGCTCAAGCAAAACATAACTGGGAGGGTGAAGGTGATGCAAAGACAAACAAATGATTTCACGATAGTCTGCTAATTTGTATTATGTGTATCATTTCTCCCCACCATTACAGACATCCATCAGGGACACCTGCACTTTCAATATGAGTGTCTGGATCAGTCAATACAACACTGTGGGGTCCTTTAGGGAAGGTGACAATGGCTGTGTCTGTGCTATTTACTGCAGAAGAATTAGGAAGCTTAACTGTGTAACTGTAAAATTCTCTACTCAAAGGATAATTAGTGGTATATTCCTGGCGTCATACCAGTGCTCCCCGCCTTAAAAGAAGATAATGAGTTATAGTCTTTTGGACAATACTATGTTGATTCCTAACAATTTAGCTCTATTATTTAAAAATCTACTTAGTAAGGGCCCTCTGCATTTTTTATATTGTGTTTAGGCTCTATGGAGTGTAAATCTATTATTACAAGGCAGAGAACTAAATCATGTTGCCTCCAACAACAACACACACCTTCACAAAGCTTCAAATACACCAAGCAGTGCTGCCCATGGGGGCCGTGACTAGGCGCAGGTGCACTGTGGGTCCCAGTGAGAAGGCTTCTGAGTGTGCAAGGTCTGTTGGGCTGTGGTGAGGGGTTACTTTATTAAAATGGAAATAGGAAAGCCAGAGGTCTAAATGACCATATGCTAAGGGTTATTTTCTCTCTTTAAAAATAAAAACCACTTTGTGCTATGAAGGCAGCTTTGGAGGATCAGTGCTGAGCTAGCGAGCCTTCAGATGACATTACCCGACAACAAGCGATGGTCGTGACAAATGCATGTTTGTTTTGAGGAACATGTTATTATTAGGAACATGACCATTAGGGGACGATCACAAAGCAGTCCTCCCTGACCTTCTTAGCCCAAAGTGAGAGGCCTACAGGACCGTGATTTCCTCTCTGAGTCTAATAAAAGAAATAGTCACGTTTCCAGTCCAAAGCTTAAAGTACAGAACGTGAAGCTGGCACTGTGGGGATAAAAAAGATACACTAAACGCAGCTCTCGAGGCCCCTGGGGGAGGAGGGGCTGGACATGACAGCAGACCTGAACAGGCATGTGCTCTGTGCCTGCCCAGTGCAGCCGCTGCTGGGAGCCCCCGAATGGGTCTGAGATGGAACTGTGCTCAAAGAGGTGTGCCACTTCTGGACCCCGAGGCAAATGTTCTTTTTTCTACTTGGGCAGGTATGAAAAGAGAAGGCCTCAGGTTAACAGGTTTATTCCTTGTGTCCCTTGTCACAGAGCCTGGTGGCCTACAGAGCCCTGCATTTTGGATAATAACTTGCAGCCCCAGTGAAGGCCTCTTCACGACTCCCGTGAAGGGTACGATCCGTTCAGCCCTGGAAACTGCACCCCACTCCCCCAAGGAGCTGCTTGGCAGAACGTGAACCTTTTTGTCTTCAACCCAGGAAAAAAGTACAAAAAGAACAAGTCTAAGAACAAATAAGGGAACAAGTCTTGGATTCTACCCAAAAAGTTTAAAAAAAAAAAAAAAGGCTGACACATAGGAACAAAACAAGAACACTGAGCTCCCTGGGTGTGTATCAGCTGTGCTGTATCAGCTGTCCTGTACTCCAGCGGTAGCAACCTCAACAGGAGACACTTGGTCATGAAAAGAGTAACACACAACACACACACACACAAATACCATCTATGTACACCACCTGGTACTATCAGATGCCAACTTATAGGAAATGGATGGAAAAGAAATCTGCCATGATTTCAGAGAAGTTGGTATTTTCTCACCTTTTCGAAGCTCTTAAGTGTAACTTCATATATAAGTTCAGCATTAGGTTCAATGCCAAATTTAGGCTTCCCTGCCTCTCCAAAACCATATCTGAAATGGAGAGTAAAAAAATAAAACTTTAAAGAATTGGTGTATTTCCACGCACCTCCTTGGGTATCTTGAGGCATCACATTAGCACAGAGCTATCATTTGCAAACTACACACATCCGAGACCCTGAAGACAAAGCAGACGTTGATCAGAAGAGAGGGTGCCAGACAACACTGCGATGACGTTTTAAGAAACCAAGCTTGATTGAGTTTTCTTCTTCACATTGATACGTAATGTAACACCTGTTTGCTTAATGTGATTTTAAATGTCACTGCCTTTCTCTGCTTGATTTTATATCTAGTTCTTTTTATAGAAAAGCCATTATTTATTAGGACTCTTCCTGATGCTTTATCAGAAAGACAGAAGACAACCACTGTAATTGTTACAGTGCTGTTTGGTAGAGGTATGTTTTTAAAGTGAGAAGTGCTCTTCCTTTCCAAAAGCACCACTTCCAGTCAGATAAACTGAGAGAAAGGTTCACACCTCAGAAAGGAAATACACTCTCACAGTATGTCTTCAAGACTGTTAGAAAGCACACTAGAAAACAGCAATGATATAACAAATATATAATCAAAAAGAAGAGTCCCAGTAAGCTCTAACACTTCATCAAGAGAAATACTGCATTGTGTTCTCACAGCTCTCTGGCTGTAAAACTAAAACACTACACCTTTTAGCCAAAACTGACTGAATAAAATAACTGGGAATATATACGTAAATCTGTTTTTTCGAACCATTTAAGATTTTTAACAAATCCAAGGTATTCGAGAGAGCACACGTCCACTGGAATGGAAATTCTGGTGGAGCCTCCGCCTGTCTGGGTTAGTGGTTTTCCAGATGCAGAACAATGCACAAAATATTAGGAAAATATTCACTGGAACATATCCTGCTCCTGTGTGTTTTAAGCCACACTACTCTTTGACTTATAGAATAGTATTGCAAAAAACTTAGTAAACCCAAACTTTCAGGCTATGAGCTGAAAAGGTACCAAAACCAGGTTGATATGAATACTTCATACCTTCAGTTTTCTCCAGGGCAAAAGGCCTAGAGTGGAACATTCATCTCTTGCCACTTGCACCTCTTCTTT